AATGTTACGGTCTCGTCACGGAACCATTCCGTCGAGTTTGTAACCGTTGGATCATCATGTAACTGTCGGGATAATTGATCTAACGGTTACAAATTCGAACGAAATGATTGCGTAACGGGACCGTAGTATCTCCCGTTTGTTAGATATATGAGGGTCAAAGTAGCAAGAAAATTTCGAGAAATGGTCAAATGGTCAATTTAGATGACATTTTTTTAAAAAATTTTGCACTTACATATTACTATGATAGACTCATATTTTATACGAATAACGTGAAATATAAGACTTATTTTTATCAGTTGCTTCGTGATTGTACTAAGTTGCTAACATTGATCGAACATAGTCGTACTCAGGACTAATAGAAAGTCTAAGCCCAAAACGAATTTCTGCTTTTTGATACGGTTAGAAAGTCTAAGCCCAAATTAATTTCCACCTCCTTGTACCATTACAAAGTGCAGGCCCAAAAGCAATTTCTCGTACTTGAAGACTTGAACCGAAACTACCCAACTGTTCCGGTTCATGGCCCATTGGTTAATGGTTTTGAGTACAAGACCTAAATAATTACAATCATAAATAAATAAAAATGGATAAAAATTATGTTATAATTCTTTGACAACCCAACCTTGATCAAAATTACATGGCCATTATATATATATATATTATTTTTTTGCCTTTTAAAATATTTTTATTTTATATTATTAATATATTTTATGTGGTAATATTATGACAACCTACAATATCATTAATATTTTAAGGTATAAAGTCTTTATACATATAAATTAATTACTTTTATTTTTTATTTTTGTATGTACAATTATAAGATAAAGTTATAATTCAAAATTTTTAAGATCAATTGCTCATTCCAACAATTGGTTGACATAAAAAAAAAATATATATATAACAAAATATAATCTTAGAGCATCAGTAATGCTTTGGATCCATTCAAAGAAATATACTGGCCACGTAGGAAATAGACTCAGTTCAGAAAATTATATGCTGCAATGTAACTACAAGCGGGCTGAGTCTTGCTGACGTGACAACAGAAAAAAGAAACCAGTCTACCCTTAAGTTTAATTTAGACTCAAGCAGAGACCTTGTCTCTTTGCATTGGAGTCAATTTTGTTACCTTTATATATTTTTATCCATATCACCCAAGATTTAAGTTCATTTATTTGCCACATAATCAAAATTAGACTCAAAGCATTGCAGATGCACTTACTAACGCCTCGTCATCTTGGCTCTTTCTGAAAGTCCAATGTCAACAGAAGGAGAAGGAAATTTTTAATTTGTTTAAAATTTAACTTTTTTTATACAAAATAATTATTATTTATATTTGAATCATTTGCACAGTTACTCATCTTATAGTATAAAAAGTTTTCAAACCCGTACCGTATATTACCTTTATAGATAAATATATTTAATTGCTAAATAATTTTATTATTTTTTAATTAATATTAATAGAAAACTTAGTTGGTAATATCATATAAAAAATCGATAATAAATATATAATAAATTATTTTTATAAAATAATTTTATTATTCTTAAAATTTAATATCATATAATTTTATTATTTTTAAAATATATTTATGATTTAAATTAATCTGACTGTTTTATAATTTAAAAAGTCAAAATTGACATGAATAGAAGTATAGATCTACATTGGACTACTCCCAAACACAAGAAATTAAAATATAATGATATGAAGCATTATAAATGACGTATAAACTCGAAAAAAACCGCATTATATTAGTGAAGAATTATACGGTATTAAATTTCTATTGAGCAGATACACATGAAATTAACCATTTGAAAATCAGTTGTTGAATTGTTTACAATAATTATCTTTAAATATATTTTATATTAATTTATATTATTAAAAAGGGAAAAATCAAAATCAATTAATTCATCATGTCGTCTAATTTTCAATTTTTGGTACTTTAGAGATAATTTTTCTGTTAAATATTAAATTACGCTACACCTTGTACAACATGTTTTGACTCCATCTCTAGTTATTTTCAGTTAAATCAAGACAAAGATTGAATTAACTAGAATGTGATATATAAGTCAATTCCATGTTACTTAATCGATAACACCATAGAAAAACAAAAAGGGAAGGGAAAAAAAAAATTTGCTATCACTACAAGAAAATGATGAAATTCCAACGGAAATACATTCCAATAGAATTATTCCACCAGCAATTCCAATAAATAATTCAATTCTATTTATTTCTGTTGGAACTTTTCAATGTATATTCCAGCGGAATTCCAACAAAAGTAGTCCGTTAGAATGAGTTTTCCATTGAAATTTTCGTTGGATTTTGACGACTGCAGCGGTAGATTTTCCAACAAAGGTGAAACAAAAATTCCAACGGAAATTTCATATTCCAATAAAAATTCCTACGGTAAAAAGTCGTTGAAATCATCAAATTTCATCTCAAATTTCAAAGACAACACACATTCCAGCGGAATATTTTCGTTGGATTCATTCTCACAGAATCTATATACCATTGAAATATCCGTTGGAATTTCCATTGTAATATATTACCATAAAGTTTTTCATTGAAATATAACAATTTTTGTAGTGTATTAACCATGCAGAATATATAACATTATGGAGTCATCCATAGTTATTCACAGATGATGTATTGACATGTCTCCGCAATAAATACACTTATACATGTATCAGTACATGAAATTATGGATCATTTCATAAGAGAGTCATCCGACGACTCCATAGAAATTTCTCATAATCAAAGACAAGCATTCCTATAATTAATGTAAATCCAATATAAGCTAGCTAGCTTGATCAAAAAAAAAAAAAAAAAAAAAAAAAAAAAAAAGGTGCCTATGTAATTAATTTCAATTTATTGCCAAATCCATAATACAGTGACATGAGAATCCAAAGTATAATACAGTGACAGAAAAGTGAATAACCTTTCAATCCAAACCAACAAAAAATGCTCACAAATCAAGCACACCCAAATTATTGAAAGCATGGACATATATATATATAATGAGCGTGCATTATGTCCCAATATACACACAAACACTATATTACACATACTTAAAAAACACACATAAAATCAGTTCGCTTTTCGATGAGACAAACGAGCCGAGATCAAGCGCACTGAAATCCCGAGGGGACCCTTTTACCGCAATAGTTCAAAAGTAGGCTAAGTGAAACCGGGACGTTGAGATTAATCCCGAGCACGTTGGCCTTGATAGCCGTGCAGAGACAAACGGCGGCTTCAAGGTCGGCCAAGCCTTGGATGAGAGTGCAGCATGGGCTTTTGGGTGGGCTCCCGACAACGACGCGGACCAGCCCGTCGAGCAAGTTTGCGCAGACGCCCAATTTGAGGGTGTCGTTGGGGCATTTGGGCTTCGAGGTGGGCCTGTTGGCTGGCCCGGTGGGAGACCATGGGATATTGGTTGAGCTCACCATTGTGAAGAAGAGAATGTTGAGGATGAGGAAGAGGATAAGTGGTGCTCTTGATGAAGCCATTTTTTCTTCTTCTTTTATTTATTTATTTATTTTTTTTGAAGAGAAAATTGAGATTTCTTATAGGGAAGTATGTGTGTGTGTGTTTTGCTCCAAAAGATTTGTGATGAGAAATTGGAGGGTGTTTTGGGGGGTTTTTATAGAAGAATTGATTGAGTTTGGTGAGTTTTGAGGGATTTTATTATTATTATTATTATTATTATTATTATTATTATTATTATTAT